TTAAAACATTGAACAGATGAAACATTGAGTTTTATTTTTTGTCCCTTATTTTCTAAAAATTTTACAAGAATTTTTTTAATTTCCGCTAATTCAACATATGATGTTGGTTTAAGATGTAGATCAGATTGATTGATATGTACAGTTAAATTAAATGAACACATCTATCAATAATCATAGAAGAAGTTTCAGAACGTAACAAAATATTTAAAACAAACCATATCGAGTTCAAGTGCATAGTTAAAACCTAACGATTTTAAACCATTCCATAAATCTTGTTCACTTGTATCTTCATCTTGTACTTCAAAATTATTTAATTTTAAAAATTTGTCTTTGGAAACATTTTCATCAATATCCAATCCGACATTTTCTGAATTTCCAAAATAAATCGATCTTTTGTTTTTATTTGAAAAATAATAAGCATTTTACCTCGAATAGATGACCAATCTTCATCGGTTATCTCCTCTCCGGCTGTTCTTATTGTCCATAAATTATATTCATTTCGATCAAGTTGTTTATTATCTGAAGAAAATCATGTCAAAAGAAATAGAAAATAATTTTAAAAAAAAAGTGATTTTTACCATCAAAATCAAATAGATCAAATATATATTCAAGTGCATCGCTAAAAAATAATTTAATTTTTTAAATAAATATAAATTAAAACTTTTCTTACTGATAATCTTTACTCATAATAAAATTATTTCCTCTTTTAATTTCTCGCAATGTTTTTATCGGTGTACGTTCATTCATTTCTTTTGAGCGCGCTCGAAGTACACCACCAAATGTAACAGGTATAATTTCATATGAACCTTTTGATAATGTATCCAATTTAAGATAAGATTTCTATATTGATAAAATTTAAATAATGAGTACAAAAATAGATAAGACAAAAAGCATTTACATTCCCTGATCGTTCAGAACTCATATAAAGAAGACGTCGTTCTGTTGAACGAGGCACTTTTTCAAAGAGAAGAATTCGAACATCGATATTCTTAAATGATAAATCTAATAAAAGAAATAGAAAAAATGTGCATGAAAACATAATTATCTATTCAGATCTATCAATATTAGATTTCGTCCGTTTGAACCTCAAGTTTTTCAAAATGATGTACTTTTATGATATCGTGAAATCGTTGGTTCAAGAGTTATCCATATAGGTGTATCTTTTTTAATTTCAAACGAATAACCAATTGAAAAATAAAGTGCATCAGCTGGTGAATCGAAATATTCGCAAAAGAAGGCACCTTTCATTTGTAAAGAATGCATATTCTAAAATACAATCTATAGAAATAAAGTATTTTTTATTCTCTTTTTTTTAGAAACCGAAGGAATGGATAGTTTTTTCGATGATGGATCAATGATAATATGAACATTGTTGTTATTATTATTATTGCTGTTTGATTTTGACGAATTGAGTCGTGATGATGGACGTTCATACTCATCTAAGAAACAATTTTAACGATAAATAACAGATTAAAATCTACCTCGTTTTTCTTTTTCTTCTTTTAAGATTTTTTGACGACAATTAGTTTTAGTTTCTCCAATTGATTTTGTTAACTAAATTATATTCAAACATAGATTTTCGTCGTTGAATAATAGAATAAATAATCGAAACCTTTTTAACATCGATTTTTCCATCGTCAGTACCGAGTAAAAAACGAAGTTTTTGAAACTCATCTTCTGTCAAACGATCACCTTTCTGAAATGTAAAATTTTTTCTAAATTTTTTCTATATTAAAAATCATAAAATCTACCGCAAGCATATCTGTACGAAATCTAGTAAAATCAATTGCGCTCCAATCATATTTTCGGTCTTTATTATAAAGTGTTTCAAATGCTTCTTCAAGAGTTCGTTCATCAATTGGTTTTTCTTCACTAAGAATACGTTGAAATACTTTGAATGTTATATTTTCTAAAAAAAAAAAATCACGTATGTAAATGAATAGAAAAAGTAAATAACTCTCACCGTGATTATCTGACCATAATTGATCAATCGTTGTTTTCGATAAGTCATATCCAACATAACTAAGAGCTAATATAGAAAACTTTCATTTTTTAAATAAGATCTAACGAGAAACAGATTTGAACTGGTAAATTATTTTGGAGTCCAGACTATCTCCATCATGTGAACCCTAATGAACTATGCAGATCCTGAAAAAGATTTTTAACTTGTAACTGACCGCTAGCGAGGTACTGCATTTTTTACGGTATTTTTGAGCAAAATACCGTGATCGCCTAAAAGATGGCAGAAAAAATGATTTTCGAATTTCTATTTAGAACTTTATGCTAGAACAAGTATTAACGAAAACAAAATTGAAATTTTCAGAATAAAATATTCTTCTTAACATCTGTTTCTGTGCAATGTTTTTGTGATAATTCGAAACTCGGTTCTCCCAGTGTCTTTAAGGGGGACTAACAAATTGTGCTGAAAAATCACCGAAGAGATGCAGTATTTCGATAACCATTAGCTAATAGTCCGATATTTTATCAGGATATGCATAGCCTATTAGAACTTACAGGATACACATATTGTCGGGATGCAAAAGTCATTTATACACTGGCAATTTTTCCTCGTTAGTAAACCTACCTTGAACAAATTTCTCACGATTTGTTATTGAGGGTCGTATAGATAAATCAGCACAACGTTCAAAAACTACTTTATGAAATTTGATATCATCATCACTAAATTTTTTCACAGGATATTCATTTTTTCCACGATCTTGTTGTCGAGACAATGATGAACGGCTATTTGATATTGATAATGGTGGTGATGAGGAACGATTTGTTAAAAAATCAGATTTTGATATTTGAAAATTTGGTGATGTTCTACCACCAAGACTTGTATTGCTTTTTATTGATCGATTAGAATACATCGTTTGCTTAAAAACAAAAGATTAATCTTCTTTTCCTTTTAGTTGTACGTTGCTATGTTTTTACCTCCACTTTATTCAACCAAACAATGCTTAGTGACGTTTGAAAGTTAAGATTGGATGAAACATGTGGCGCAATCTTCTATGAAAAAAAAAGGGTGAAGTAGCTTTAGATTTTGCTTTCATTTATTCTAAATGGCGTGGCAACAATCAGTGAACAAACCTGCAACTAAACCAGCTGCACCAAAACCCAAATTCGAAACTAATGATGATGATTGGGAAACAGATATTGCTTATGAAGTATATTTTTCGAATTTATAAAGAATATTAATTTCTTGTCAATAGAATTCAGCAACTGAAAAATCACAACGCTATGGTTCAGCAAGTGTACCTGGTTCTGGTCGAGTAGATCATGTTGATTTTAATTCTATTCGAGATAAAATTAAAACAGCTGATGATACTACTAAAGAAACATATCAAGAAAAAAATCCTAATCGTGGTTATGGAGGAAAATATGGTACAGAACAGGTCATGGATAAGGTCATTTATCATTTTCAATTTATTTTATCTATTAACAACAAACAAATTCAATTTTAGTCTGCAGCAGATTTTACCTACAAAGCTGATATAAAAAAACATTCATCACAAACAGGTTAGTAGTAGAAAGAAATGTTTATAATTGTGGAGATGGAGGTGGTATAGGTACTTGTACACCATTATAAAAAGCAGCTGAATAAGCTGGATGATTTATAAAATAGTTTGTAAATGCTTCTTGTGGTACAAATCCATTTTGTAGAGCACAATTAGCTTCTAGATTTCTCCATACTTGTTGATAATCAGCATTAATACCATATAAATTTGTCATATCTTGTATAACACGTCGTCCCATAGTTGGTGTTATATAACCATTATTTGGTGAATAATGATTAAGTAAAAAATTTAAACGTGTTTGTGGATTTATTGAATCTTGTAATAAAATATAAGCAGAAATAAATTCATCAAATGTTAAACGTCCTGTATTATCTCTATCAAATGTTTTAAATATTCGATCAGCCATAGCATTATGTCGTCGAGTACGTTCAACAGGTGTTAAATGAAGATAATCTTGAGAATTCGGTGAATAACATATTAAATCTTTATAAATACGACGAAATTCATATTTATCAAGAAGATAATCTTTTGATACACGACGAAAATCTCTATAAATATTTTCTAATTGAAAACGAGGAATACCAACTAAATTTGATATTTCATCGAGTTCCCATGATGATGTTTCACGGCCTTTTTGTCGATTACCCATTTTGTTTTATTGAATATGTCTGTTTCAAAATAATATTTATACATTCGAACACCCACGCTAAATACATTCATTTGTATCATAAGACCAATGAGAGACTGTTATGAAATGAATAGTATATGAGTAATATTTCACCTTGATAGTTATTCATTTATCAGTTTATATGTTATGTGTAGATAGTAAAAAAGGTTTCGGTGGTGAGCATGGTATTGATGATC